GTGCCGCAGTTCACTCCACCACCGCCGCCCCCCAAGATACATCAGGTCCAACCAAATATAAGCCAGGCCGCTGTTGCCTCCTCGTTGCCACCACCGCCTCCTCCTGTGCCTGCCCCACCACCACCCCAGGCACCCCCAAAGCCTGTCATGGCAGCTCTGTCCCCTCAGCCTAGCGGGAAGGCAGCATCACCAGGGGTCACACATGTCACTCCCCCTGTGACTGCAGCCTTGCCCCTTGCAATAAAGAAACAACCAAGTATCACTTCTCCCCAGGTCCCTCCTCTGCCCCCGGCCCCTCCTGGCCCCACTCCCCCTGCAACATTCCCAAAGCAGCAGAGTTTCTCAGTAAAGCCTCCTCCGTCCCCTCAGTCCCCAGTGCCATCGGTGGTGAAGCAGATAGTCAGCCAGTTCCCCCCTCCTCCCACGCCACCTGCCACTGAGCCCCAGCCTCTGAAACCCCTTCCGCTGAGTGTGGCTCCACAGTCGCCTCCAGCAGTGAAGGCAAAGCCCAAATGGCAGCCTGCTGCTGCTCCTTCACCAGATTTCCCCCCTCCTCCACCTGAGAGCAGTTTAGTGTTTCCTCCTCCACCTCCTTCCCCAGCTTCCTCTGCAGGTTCTCCCCCGCCTGACAAATCAGGGTCTCCAGTAAAAAAGGCCAGCAAGACATCAAGCCCCGGAGGGAAGAAACCACCTCCAACACCTCAACGCAACTCCAGCATCAAGTCCACAAGCTCCGCTGAGTACCATGAGTCCAAGAGGCCTTCAGTGGACCGCCTTGTCAGCAAATTTGCACACTCCCCAGAGCCGTCAGGATCTCCTTCCAAGGAGTCATCGCCTCCTCCAGCCCCTCCGAAACCAGGAAAGCTCAACCTTTCTGGTGTGAGCCTGCCCATTGTCCTTCCACAAGGGGGAATGCCAGCCAAGGCTTCTGCTCCGAGTGTGTCTGGAAAGGAACCTGTAGTTGAATTCCCTTCACCACCATCTGATTCAGACTTCCCACCACCACCCCCTGAAATAGATCTGCCTCCCCCTCCAGTAGAAATTCCATCTGTGTTTTCAGGCAGCACCTCCCCAAAAGTCGCTGTTGTCAATCCCCAGCCGCAGGCGTGGTCAAAACCATCTGTGAAAAAAGCCCCACCGCCCACACGGCCCAAGCGGAACGACAGCACCCGACTGACACAGGCAGAGGTTGTGGAGCCCCCGGGGTCAGCTGGCCCACAAGTGCCCACATCACCCAAGTCCAGCCTTAGCGTTCAGCCGGGATTCCTGGCAGACCTCAACCGGACGCTGCAGCGGAAATCCATCACGCGGCACGGCTCGCTCTCCTCCGCACGCATGTCCAGAACGGAGCCCACGGCCACCATGGACGACATGGCCCTGCCTCCGCCCCCGCCAGAGCTGCTGGCTGACCAGCAGAAGACCAGCAGCTTTGGGGGCAGTCATATATCTGGCTATGCAACGTTACGGAGGGGGCCGCCCCCCGCGCCCCCCAAAAGGGATCAGAACACCAAGCTGTCACGGGACTGGTAGTCAGTCCCCAGATCCAGTGCTCTCCGTGACTTGTGGGCTGCTCTGATCGGCCAGCCCATGATCCCGTGCATGTGGAGAGGATGTGGGGATGTGGATGATAGTCCCCTTGAAAGAGGTGATCTCAAACTGCAGCTGTGGCTAAATGTAAAGACATTCCCCTTTCATGGCTAGATTAAGAAAGATGGGGACTTAGGGGTGTTGATACTTTATTGGGAAAAGTGGGTAGAGAGGTGTTGGCTTCATTCTTTCAGTTTCTTTTACCCTTCTTATGGATTGGACCAAACCCCCGTTTTCTTACTTTTTCTGCATTTAGGGGAGGGGGAGGGAGATAATTTTTTTTGTAGTGTCTGTCCACGTGAGACATGTTTGTGCATGTATAATAAGTGTAGGTATATAATATATTGTGATATATTTCGTCGCAATTATAGAAGATAACCAGAATGTTTTTGTAGAACCGTATTTATTGTTTCAGTCAGTATATTATCTGGAATCAGACTCTAACTGGTCAAATCTTACCATAAAGATGGAGATGTAGGGGGCACTTTAAAGAAAGGAAATAAAAACCCAAAGCCACAAACTTCTCAGCAGTTTGTGCTGGGTAAATTCTGCAAAGCTGAGGTGTTCGGCTGGTAACTGTATGTTGTCCATTGATTGAAAAGTACAGATGCAACATACCAAAACATTCTGGTCATAATACTACTGAAAATGAGTATGTTCAGAGGAAAGAAATAGATTTTATATATAGTGGGCTGGAGTGAAATATATTTATACTATAAAGAGCCTCCCCCTCCTTTCAAATAGTTTAAAAAATATACACTGATAGAAATTATTTCAAACTTATTTGTCCATGCAGTTAAGTAGGATAAATATATATTATTCCAAACCATTATGCATTCTAACTGATAATAGGCTCCATCATTTGTTTCTATGGCTCAAGATGAATATATTTGTGTTAACCCCTTCTGAAAGCTGCCAGGACTCCTGCAATTGAAAATCCTGCCAACCCCCAAGGCTGACCCACGCCGATCCGTGAGCTGTCCGTGTAACTCTTACCCTGAATGAACAGGTAGGTTTCTGTAGAAAGTGCTGTGTGCTCACACAGGCATGCACAGCGTCCAGTCTCACCTGTTCTGGGCCTGGTAAGATGCAGTGTCTTCACAAAAACAAGTGTCTGGAAATGTGTGAAGAAAGTGTTGTCATTGATTGGAAATTGTCAGGAAAATTTCCCTTCTGGAAAGAGAGAAGGGAGCAGCAATTTCAGGACAAGGAGAGTAAGAATTCTCTCTCTTTTCTTTGGCCTGCCAGAGACTGTGACCAGTGCATTCACCTGTACTACAAAGTTGCACTTCTAGCAGTCGAGGAAGAAGACTGGAAAAAAACAACCTTAAAGAGGCAATAACATTTGCTAAGAATTTCATGTAAGGGCCCGTATGATTAGACAGTAGACTGTTGGTTTGCTTGGTTTTTGTTAGTCACCGATTCACAGTCGGTCACCACATCAAGCATGAATGACAGTCCTTTTTCTTCAGTAGCTACTTCAGTAGCTTGATTGTACAGTCTTACCCACATATTCAGACCTTGTGATAAGGCAGTGTAAGTGGTCCTGTGTATCACTGCACATTCCTTGCAGGGTGGTGGGACACAGCCTTTGTAAAACAACTAAAATACTTGGACTGTAACTACCCCATCTTCAGCTGTTACAGCTTCCCTTGTCAGCATGGGGATATTGTCAATACGTAGTATCAACAGGCTCATAGGGCAAATAATTTCACTGTTTGCCTACTTTTTCCCAAAACCAAACTTCAAATGCTTTCTTTTTCCCAAAGAATGAAACAAAGACAGCAGCTTGACCTGGCAGTATCTTCACATGTGTAAAACCAATATAAACTAATCTTTCATTAAAGTAATTCAGGATGATACATTTAAGAAATATTGTGACAGTGTCTCCCATTCCATTTTTTTATTGACTTTTTTTTCTAAAGTCCAAATAATGGAACAATTGTCTTTGTGAATATTTTATGAATAGGAAAAGAAGTTTTGCTAATTTGAGCTGGAAAATTACACATCTATAACTATATAGTTTTAAAAAAGGTGCATCATGAAAAGAGAAAAATTAGTGGTGCTGTCTCTGCTGAACTGTTTCATATGATTTTTTTAAAATCTGTTTCAGCACCTCTGGAAATTGTTTTAATATTTCAGACTAGATTTTTTGAGCAATAAGAGTATATACCATTATGTGCATTTTTAAAGCACTGCTATGGAAAGGCACTTTTTTGTATCTTTGAAATTGTTCACCAAGTTTTGTTTCTACTATTTTTGTGCTTACAAAGTGTCCTTAAAAGCATTTGCATTGTTGTTTTAAGCATGCTCAGTGTAGCTGGTGACTAACTTCACAGGAGGGTTGTTAAGCTATACTGCAGTTCATGGGTGCTGTAATTTTCACATTGCTCCTCCTGCTGCTGTGTCCTGTGTGCAGCTCCTGGGGCTCAGACACACCAGAGGGCAAAAGGTGCTCGCTGCAGCTGTAACTGCTGTGCCCATAGCCATGATGGGGAGGTGGGCACATTCTCCTGCTCCTGGCAACAGGTGCTCCCAGGTGAGAGCAGTCAGAGAATCCTGCTTGCCCCATCTGCTTTTCTTTCCCCAAGACAGCCTCACTGGTGTGTGTCAGTTCCGGGCCTTTTACTGTAGCTCATTCAGTGCGGGTACCTCTGGGCTTTGGACTCGGCACATCAATGTTCTGAGTGCGGTTTCTTCAGAGGCATTTCAGCTTTGTTCTCTTTTTCCTGTGACCACATTTATTTCCCTGGTATCTCTCCCTAGACAATTAATCCTTGCAGGCTGCCCGCAGGTGCTGGGAGACAGTTGTGCAACTCTGAAGTCTGCAGCAAAAAGAATGAATGTCTGCAAAGGTGGCATCCTGTATTGCTTCTAGTTAGGGTTTCCTTCCTAAGGCAGTGGTGATCCAGTGAGTGGTGCTGCTTGTTTTCCCTCAGCTGAGCGTGGAAATTTGCCTACAGTGTGCTTCAGACAACCCGATTGCCTTTTCAGGTTATGAGATACCCTGCGTTGTAACTTGCTTTTCCAGTATATTTACTGATTTTGTGACAGTGAATATTTAAACCTTATTTTGCAAGTAAGTTGTTTTCCCCCATGTGCAGTCATCTCATAATTGCACGATAATATTTATTAAATCAGAAAATTAAGGGGCTGGATTTCAGACACCCAGGAAGAGGCTTCCTGCTACAAATATGGACAGTAATACTTTTGGCAGTTTTAAAATGGGCATGTGAAGGCTGAGTGTTCCTACTCCCGACACAAAAGTGCTTTGATCTCAAAATACACAGAGTGTACAGCTGGAGTTGTATTTCATGAGGCAGAGCACAGGGTGGCACTTGTTAAGGTGGCTGTCAGGGGACCCTGCTGCTGCAGGGGCACCTGTGAGGGCTCAGCTGTGTTTGTTACTCTTTTCCTCCTTCAGTCTTCATTTCCCCTCTGCTCTGCAGCGTAGGTGGCATCCCCCTCTGAGTAGCAAAGCCCAGCTCAGCCAGGTGTCTGTGCCCACAGCCCAGGTGCAGAAAGCAGGGAGCTATTCTCAGATGCTTACATCGCCATTCAGGTGCTGGGGAGTTGCTTTGAAAGGGAAAATTAGGCTCTTCTAGCAGCACTAAGCTTCGATGAAATTACTTATAAAACTAAAAGAAACCACAGGATCTAAACAAACCATAGGTAACATGTTTCAGGTGGCCATGCTTGGGGCCATTTACTCTTTTAACATCTGTAGCTGGGAGAGGAAGTTAGGCACAAGTGTCTGAATCATTCTCTTATTTTCTGGGGAAGAGGAAGTTTCCTGCTTCACCCTGCACAGTGGTTTTCTCCTGTGGCAAACCACCCCTGACTGCTCTGACTTGGTGATGACCTCAAAGCCAAAGAGCTCCTCTCCTCACTTACTCTGCACTTGTCTGCAGGGCAACAGTGAGGGACACATCAAGGAAGCAAAGTGCTGGTACCTGGATTCTTTGGTTTCAGGTCTGAGGGGAGAGGAAGCAGTTTTTTCAACAAGTGCATTTTAACATTTACTGTTCTGGGCTTGCACATTTATAGGTTTTCTAATTCCTTCTTCCTGTGCCCTTAGGCAACCAGATAAATCATATCAGCTCAGAGATAAAGTGTGGCCAGTCTTCCTCTCACTTAAATTTTTTTTTCCACAGTTTAAGGAACCAAAAGTGCCATTTCAACAGCAGAAGGGCAAAAATAAATTTTCTGCTTTTTACAGAAAACAGCATAGAACCAAATTGTTTTGCTACAATGGTACTATCGCAGGTAAATTTGTTTCTTATTCAAAGTAAGATTATAAGTGGGTCCTAATATGAGTATTATTTAAACTAGTGTCATGTTAAAATCAGTTGCACTCCAGAAAAGCAGTATGAATTCCTGGCAGAAGGTAGTGAGGATGAAGCCAGAACATGGGAGTTTGGTTGGTTGCTGGGTTTTTTCCTTATAGCATTACTAAGGTGTAGATTACCTACTCAGTCACACAGTGCTCCAGGTGAGTCTTACTGCTTTGGGGACCATCTGTGGCACCTGGTGTCGAGCTCTGCATTTATTCCCTTGCACCACTGGGACAGACTCCAGACCAGAGAGGATTTTAACACTACAAGGGATAGTTTCTCTTGGATTTTTTTTTTTTTTTTTGCTACATGCTGATGGGGTTTTAAGCGTTATTTTGGAATTCTGAGTTTGTCTAAGCAATTTTCCTTTCTGAACTTTCTTTCCTTCAATTAATTAAAATATGCCCATGAAGGGGCAAAAAAAAAAAAAACCAACAGGGTTTTGTTGTTGCAGGGGCAGCACTCACTAATACTGTGACACAGGCTTGGTCTAGTTGTGAGAAGTTTAAGACACTAAGAACACAGGCTAATTACTCTAATTGCTACTAACCAACCACAGGGAACACAGTGACTTGGGTGATGATCATTGGGTGCTCTGAGGCAGTCTGTGGGGCAAGGACTCAGTGAGCTTTCTGCTCAGCAGCTGGATCTTGGGTAAAGGGGAGGTAGAGAAGGTAGAAGACTTGAAGGAACAGGAACTAGTGCTGTAGAAATGAATGAGAAGGACCTCCAGTAACAGATTGTGGACACTACACCCCCTTATTTAAATGCTTGAAGGCAGCTTGTCTTTTAGGAGATTTTGAAACTCTACCGGTTGTTACAGTGGAAAATAATTTCCTTCCAGCTTTCCCAAGATGCCAAAGATGCTTTCTGAGCTAAATTCCAGGTATGCAGATGTGTGTATACCAGTCTCTTGTTGCCAGGGGTCTCATACTGCTGATCTCTAGCACATGTCTGGTGAGACAACAGGGGGCCACTCTTAGATATTGTGTGTGCCTTGCCTTTAACCAACACTGGGAACTGGGTACACACTTGCAAGGGACAGTTTAGCAAACAAAGCTGTGCCCATGGCACCCTGCTGGCTGATTTGGTGCAGCACAATAATGTTTGTACTTATAAAAGAAAAACTAAATGTTTTGTCATAGGTTTTGATTGGAAGTCTTAGGCCTCCTAGTGGACTGCAGTGGACCAGAAATGAACTGGAGCAGCAGTTTGGGTTATAGCTTACACTAATTGTTACCAGTCACTGGGAATATTCTGTATAATACTGGAGATGCAAGTGTGTCATTGCAATGATGATTTGTCTGTGCAGCAAACTTGTGCTGAGTGCTGTAAATACATTCATGTTTACTGCTTTAAAAAGAAGATTGCACATTTTATCTTTCAATGGGATTGCCTCCCCTCTTCTTCCCTTTCCAAACAGAAAGAAAAAAAAAAATCAAAGCTCTTTTAGACTGATAGTGTCAGGTTGGGGGGAGCTTTGCCATATTATAAATATATATAAATATATGTATAAATATACTTTTTTAAGCATGAGAGAGGACAAAAGAAATACTACATTATAGAGTACCCAATATAGAGCATTATACAATGGAATATGCACAATTCAATAAAGATGTAGTTAAATTTAATACTCTGTTTTAATCCTCTGTTTTGCAATTTTCCTTTTTCATGAGCTCAGAGCCACACTGTGTTTCCAGGTGATCGGTGGTGTGAGGCAGGTAGGTGATGGCCTACAGCCGTGTGCGTCCCTGTGCTCACTCCCAAGGAAACTGCTGCTGTTCCTTTGCACGGTTCTTTCTGCTGGCTCAGAGCTGGCTGGAGCAGCCAGGCGCTGCACACCAGTTACAGGGCTGAACTGGAGCCCGAGGGAAGGCTCCCCTTTCCCATCTGCTCCTTGCTCGGCCTTGCAGAGTGCTGGCCAGCCCAGCTCACACGGAACAGCTGCTGGCCCCGCTCTGGGGGCTGTGGGAACCTGCCTGGGAAATGCTCTCAGCCTCCAGCCCTCAGCAGCTGAGGTTTGAGAATGACAGCAGTGAGTGCGGGCAAGGGGCAGTCCCACAGAGCACAAGGAGCTGCTGAAGGCAGCAGATGCCAAGGGTTGTTGTACCTCTGCTGTGGGCAGTGCTGTGCTCAGAGAGCCTCGGGGACAGGCTCCTGCACGCACAAGCCACCATCCCTGGCCCTGGTGCTTTGAAGTGTGGAGCCAAGGACAAGAAATGTGACACGCTGTGGCACGCTCACAGAACACATGAGGTGTGCTTTGTTCTTTTTATTTAGGGCTCATAACAAGAGGGTTTAGTACACAGCAACAATTAATTCCAAGTACAATTAAAAAAATTTAAAAATTGGGTTTTGCACTCACTGGAAGGTGGTTCAAATGGCACACACACTAAACGTTACTGGCGGCATACAGCTCCCCAGAGTCCTGTGGGCTTGGTCATTTACAGTGGGCTCTGCATCCATCCACTGCAGCAGCAGTGCCAAAAGCAAAAGCAGAGTGTGCTGCTCCAACTGCAAACCAAAGTGGGGGGGGGGGGGTATCTGCTTTCAGAAAAAAAGTGCATGGACAAAATCCATGTTAGACACTGACATCTCCAGAGAATTCATAGAAACTACTTGTCCATGCAAGTTGCAAAAGACACTTTTTCAAATGTGAAAAGAAGCACTTGTTCTTTACAAAAAAATCTCGGACATGTCAGCACTTACTGAGGCGCTGTAATGGAAATAAATTTGTACATAGCTCTTCCTATTAGTCAGTAGTGGTAGGATTCTTCAGAGGCGTACGGAGAAACTAGAATAAACTTAACTGCACCCATTTCAGCAGGGTCCCCATGTCTCTGTTCAGGAGGGTCCTGGGTGTAGGCTTACCTCTGGACAGCAGGCCCCTGCTGCCATCACTGTCTTCTAATATGTCTCGTAATAAGCACAGGTGCTAATAAAGTTAGTACATTTAGAGTACCAAAAAAACCCCCAAACCTCTTCCTCCACTGGCTGAAGATTACACAAAACACATGCATGGGGTTTTTTCCAAAGTAGCAGAACACCATGATCTGTGAATTATTCTTTTTAACAGCAGTTTTCAAACTGTGGCTGCATCAAGCTTGCAGCATGTCCCCATGGATGTGAGGTGGGGGTCTCACTATGCTTGAGGTTTTAACTTCAGAAGTAGGTAAATAGGACTGTTACTGCACATTGACTTCAGCTACTGTGGGGGAAAATCCCCAACACAAACCCCACATTGTTCCCTTCTTGTACTGTTCTGACCTCTGTGTAATAACCATTTTATCCACAAACTGCAGCCGTGCCAAATACTGGGAGATGCCAGAAACTGGGGAAGGTGAATACACCTGTAAGCACAGTAAATTCTTGTAACTGGCACCCCAGAAGCTGTAGCCCAGGATCCTGCTGGTTCTCGGTTTCCACCACCACGTTCCCTAGAGATTAGTGGTGTAAATACTTGCCTTAGTGAATGCAACAGTGTTGTACCTTTTCTACTGCCACGGTTGCCAACACAGGTCCTGAAGTCTCTGCATGGGGTTTGTAATACTGCCTGAAATGCTGCAGTGCCTTCACCAGTGACTCTCCATACTCTGAATGTAACTACTGCTCCTAGTAAAGCCACAGCACCACAGTCTGTCCAACAGCATCCTCTAAGCAGCTTCCAAAAAGGACCTGCAGAGAATACAGATGTCACCTGTTTTACAAAAAGTCCTATTGCACCTCTGGGAGGAGAAGCTCTGCAAAAGCTCCCAGTTTACTAAACCACATAAAGTTCCATCCTTTCCAGAAAAGAAAACATGGAAATTTTGCTCTATGCCTGGAGCCCACAGACATAACTAATAAAAAAGCAGGCTTGTTTCCAGCAGAGAGGTACATCCACAGCATCTGTTAGGAAGTGGTGGAAGTTGCTAGGAAGAGGACAGTATTCAGTCACCATCAGTGCAGAGTCCTCTTCCAGCTCTCGTCAACAATGTGCACATCCACAGCAGGCAGGCAGCCCACACACCCTCTGCTGCAAAAGGCCCCTCAGTCCTGCCGCTCCCTTGTTTTCTTTTCATGATCAACTGAAACACCCCAGGTAAAAGTGGCACTTTTCAGAAGCTGCATTACTGCCACTGTCAACTTTGGCTGTCACCAAGAACCCTCAGCAGCAAGAAAAGAAAATGCCCAGCAGCTGTGAAAGGAGAACAAATTGCTCTAGCAAGAACTAGCTGGGTGTAACCCTTTCTGGCACCCACAGGTAAGCCACCCAGCCACACACCAGGACCTGTGGTTCACACTAGCAGACATCTCCAGACACTCTTGTGACATCCAACTCAACTATCTGCAAGGATAAGCTGAATTCCAGGAACATGGTCAACCTCCTGGTAACCACACCCAGCTGTCATCCACCTCAGCACCAAGCCACACCTCTTGCCCTCCAGTGAGAGCTGTGGCTCTTCAGTGCCTCCGTGTCTGTGTCTAACCAGTCAGACCATCAAGTGATCCAGCGTTGCTGCTGCTCTCTGGTGCCTACTCCAGCCACTGCACGTGGACACGCCCTCAGGACACACAGGCACAGAATTTGCTGGTCACCCCTCCTGCCCCTCTTAGCCCTCTGCTGCAACAGCTGAGGGGAAGGGGAAAAGGAGAGGAAAGAACTGGTCAGACACATGCAACCTCAGCTCTCTCTCTTTGGCTGGAATGAAGGCACCAAAATGAACCTGCTTCAGCACTAGATGTGGACAGACTCAGTCAGACCTCCTCTCATCAGGCACATGACAGAGAGGCAGCTGTAGTTAATAGCTTTGTCCCTGGTGCCAAGAGGAAGGAAGAAACCTTTGATACACAGCAAACCAAGGCAAAACACACCGCTAGAGGATGCTGAACAATTTCTGTGCACAACGAAAACAGCTGGCTGGGCTAAGGCAGTTCTCACAAAGGGAGAAACATCTACATTTTGGCCATTCAGCACTCTTTGGGCTATGCTGGAGCGTCTCCTTCCCCCACCTCTCACGCGTACACACTCCCACTTCGACAGCCTGTGATGCAGAACACCATGAGCTGTGGCAGCAAAACTCAGCAGTGAAGAGATGTTGTGCACCTTATTTAAAATACTGAGGTGTTTCTCCCCCAGCCCCCCATTTGCCACCCCCTTTTAAAGTAAACCTGTAAATTAAAAAGGGGTGGGGAAGAGAAGGTTTTGGACAAGGAGAAGTACAAGGGACAAAACTGGAAACACAACCCTCACTGACTTTACTAGCATGCAATCTATGTAACATTAATTATACAAAGCCTGTTTACCTTGGCCTGGTCTATGACCATTACATCACATCATCCCCAAACAAGCAACAGAATTAAAATCTGTACAAAATAAAAATATGCATAAAACTCAACAAATTTCTTTACATTAGTACTGTATAATAAAGCATAAAACCAGCAGGAGGTGACCCAGAAATTCCATCCACAGCAGTTCTTGCAGGATAAACAATTCCATGTTCTATTAGCAGGGACCAAACTAACCCCTGGCCCATCAGACCAAAGCCAGTTCTTCAGGAGCTGTCACACAGCTGGCCTGAAAGTGGAATCACTCACTAAGGGTTTTGTAGCCTCATCTTCTGTGCTCTGCAAGCATTCATCTCACACTGCTCTGCTCTCACAACACAGAGAGCTTGCAAGAGGAAAAACCAGCTGACTGAAGAGAAAGTATCACACACAGTGGGAGTACACATTACCCCACCCACCTGCCAGAAGTGTTCAAGCACCAGCTCTTGCTCAGACTGGGTTAAGACATGTTTCCCTAAAGTGTGACCTGCCAGCTGCAGCTTGGGTGCACAGGCAGAGGTTCAGCTCTCACTTAAGAAATCATTAAGCTGCCCTAACAATTCAGTTGAGCACTGTGGGCTCAGTTTTTGCCACAAACGTATCCAAGGCAAGAGAAGCAATGAAACCTCTGATACTCCTGGAAAACACAGCTGCCCTGTAAGCACCAAAGGCTGGTGAATGCTGCTGTTCAATGACCTTTGCTAGAAGCACCACCTCCCTGTGCCAAAAGCTCAGACCTGCCCAATGACACTAGAAACAGTTATTCCAGTGACTGCACAACCAGTTCTGGACTTGCTTCCATGGGAATGATGGGCTGATGGAACTGAACATGGCTGCTTCTCTTGCTGCAAGAAAACTTTTCAGAGTAAAAGCCTTGAAGGGTATCTGTTCTGGCACTCATCCCAAACAATGCTGTCAGCTTCCAGAAAGAAGACAACATGTGGATTAGCAAGGGAAAAAGTGACTTCTATCTGCACACAAGTTTCTTCAAAGTCATCCTTCCTGCAGACTTTAACCAAGCCAGTTTCTTGTGCCCTGTCACAGGAGTTCCACAAGCTCACAGCAAGTCATCACATTCCTCCATGGCCTACAAACACACCTATTTGTTTGTTCATCTTGCCCTCCGAGCAGCTATCCCTGCCCAGGCTGGCACCGAATCTGCACCTCCATGCTGATACTGCACCAACTACCAAGCAAGGGGCTGGGTCAGTTACCTGTACTGGTGTCAGTGCCATCACACATCCAGCCCTGCTCTCCTGTGCACTGCTCTTTTTTAACATCAGCCTCTCCAGCTGCAGTACTGTCTCACCTTGGACAAGCTACTCTTGGTACCACCTTGGCACCAGAACTTGGCCAGGTGACAGTCTAAAGATGCCCTTGCCCAGGAGGCTCTCAATTTGCAGGCTAACAAGACTTAAAAGGAAATTTAATTAGTTAATGCATGATATTTACCCACAGGTAACATTTAGATGTTCCTAAGGGCAGATGAGTATAACCATCACTTACAGTGATCTGCTGTGTACAATCACTGAGCAGAATTGTTAACTGAGACTAGATTAGAAAGCCAAGTATCATCACAAGGGGCTACAGAGCCTTCACTTGGTATTACTCCACCCCAAGCCATCAGTACAGCTCAAAATACCTATTATAATAAACAATGGAGAGGGCTAGGGGAAGAGCTAGGACTACTACTAGTTACTGCTTGGATTTCCATGGGAAACCAGTACACACAACAGCCCTTTTTGCTTCTACTGAAGAGACTTTGGCAACAGACATGAAGACGACAATTGCCGTTTGTCCTGCCTCTGCACAGGGCTCTCACAGTACATATGCAAATCTAGTTGTCAAGTACAAAATAGCCAATTTACAATACCTGATTGGATTTTTAAGATTATATTGTGCATAAAACTAAAGCTGGGGGCAAGTTTCTCTAGTGCAAGCAGGTATGAGTAGATTTGAACCTTAGATCACACCCCCTAGAGTTAATCCTCAGACCCCAGGAGGACCTGTAAACTTTGTTTTGCCTTCACCATCAACGGCATCTGTGAGTTCTGTTTGAACCGGCAGCAACCGTGGCAAGGAGCTCACTGTGGAGAGGAGCACAGTTACATCAGTGCAGAACACAAAACAAATATGTGGCATTCAGAAGATGAGAGATGGGGGTGGGGATCCTCTGGGCTGCAGCCATCTGAATTGTCTAAACTGAAAGGTGAGTGAATGAAAGCCGGCTCTGTGTGCCCTGGGTCAGCCTGCGTGTGCAGAGCAGCTGCAGAAGTGTGTATGCTAGGGAAGCATCCAGCTATCTGGAAGGCAGTTACAGGAATGTCTCTGTGTAGAAATCCCAGTGTTTGCTAGCACGTGACTGTTCTTCCAGCTGCACAGGAGTGTAGTGTAGAAACAGGGGATGTCCACTGGCCAGTAACCTTCACCACAAGCATCCACGACATCCCCAGTGCCAGGCACTGCTTCCAACGGTATAGTACCATGAGGGCACGCAGAACTCCTGAGACAAATCCCAAGGCCTGTCAGAAGTCAGAATTGGAGTGAAGTATGAGCTAATCAACAAGTTTGTTACATCTGAATGGGTCAGCTTAATTCAAAGTCAGATAGCTCAGGATAGCCTCTGCTGGCAGCTGAAGAGCCATTTGTTCAAACAACTCAAATCACTATTGTCTTATCATGAGGGGGAAAAAGAAAAAAAAAAAACCAAACCAAACCCAAAAGAGTGGTTGTTACAATTATCCTTCATTCAGTTATACTGGATGGGGCCCCAGAGGCTGGTGGAGATCTGGGAAGCCCTGACAGCTCCTGCAGCAGGAGATGCAGTGTTCTGTCCTCTGGTCTTCACTCTGAGTAATGCATGATCGACTCCACATAGTTCCCTGGGAACAGCCCCGTCACTCCATTCATGACCCCCTCATACCAGCCATCATCATTTTTCTTGATGACGTAAATGATGGCACCTTCCTGAAATGAGAGCTCATCTTCCTTGTCCTTGGTGTAGTCATAGATTGCCACCACTAGGAAAGAACAGAATGTGAGTGTTAGGAGAGCTAGGGGAGGAGGAGGAAGAAAATGCAGTCACCCTCCCTCAGGCAGGCACTGCCTCACCTGTGTGTCTCCTGAATGACCTGCTGAGACAAACAGTTTCTTCCACCCCCCTTTTGTACAAGCTCATGCTGTGAAGCACATGAGCCAGGACTCCTTTAACTCCTCTATTCTTACTATTTCCAGACCCACCAGAGGAAGTGTCCAACTGTATGATAAACTTTTGGTGTGGAACGATACAGCGAGGTGGTTGTGAATCCCCATGGCTATGACCACTCAGAACTATTGCTACATGTGCTAAACCAGATCTCAGCACAGGAAAGAGCAGGAAAACATGGAAGAGGGAGTACACCAAGAGCTCTCTTCAGGTCACAGTATGAGTGAGCCAAGGCTGACATCCCAAACCTCCATCTACCTTAGCCGCTTCCACATTTAAATCTCTAAAGGTCATGATGCATCTCAATATCCAGCAGCCACTCTCAGGGACACAGCACCAAAGTGGGCAAATCCCTGTTAGAAGCCACAAAGAAGGAAGGTGGAAATATACACATAGTGTATCAGGACATTTTTCTTACAGCTGCAGAATATTTTAGTGACAGCATAAAAGTTGTTAGGAAAGGCAAACAAATTGGACAAAGCACTTGGAAATATTAAATAGAACAGTCCTGAAATGCCAGAAAACAGACATAAAATTGATAACATTTTTCCCATCTCAGTGCTATCATTATGTGTTTCATAGAGAAAGCCAGCTATGCCAGACTCTGAGTACTTTACCAAATAGCATCAATCGCTGCTTTGAGAACTTGGCAATGACACATGCAGTGCTGCCACTAAGGAAAAAAAAAAGTATGCTGGATAGGGATTCTAAAATATTGTGCTGGGGATAGGTGGAAAGATACTCTAAACTAAAGCAAGGATTAAAAATTAACAGCATGTGTTCATAAAACTACTGTCCAAGAGTCCTACTAAACTCATCATTCTTTCCAAAAGAAAAGAGGTCATTTCCCTTTTTGAGGGAGCAAAGGAATCAACACAAACCAACACTAGGGAAACCTGGATCCAGAAGAGATTATAAAATAGACAGATCAATCCCTGTGGAAAATCAGAGTATGCGAAGAATTTTTTTTATCCTGTGACTAGAGCATTCTTTGAAAACACACATTGTTAGCTCAACTATTGTGCCAGCAGTTGTTAAATAACTTATTCTGTGCAGTTTTAGACATATCATTTTAAGCAAACAAAACACCAATGGAGAAACAAGTATGATTTTAGCTGAAAAACAAGTGTATGAACATCTGATCCATGCAATTTAAGTCCTTCAAAATTCCTAAGGGTTTTGAAATTTCTTCCTCGAGTCACTGTGCTATTTTTCTTCATTCTCTTCACGACAATAATAATCATCATTATCATTCAAGGACCATGGTAACTTCCAATTCCTTTCTTTCTAACTTTTGAACTCTTTCTAACTTTTTGTACTCTAGTTCCTTTGGATACTGAATGGATTCAATATTTCATGATCTCAAGAAGGAAACTCTTCCTTAAATTTGTGAAGAAAACTTGCTTCTTGTTAAGCCTCATAAAATTTACCTGAAGCCTGGTTTTGCTTTTACATCACCACTGCTTCCTCCAGGATGTTATTTGTGTACTGGCAACAGTCCTCTCTCTAAAAGGCTGTTTAATCCCTCAGTCTGTAGTCCCATCAGTTCAAGCTGTGAGCTTGTCACATGCCCTGAGTTATGAGGAGGCCAGGCCAGCATTGCAAGAAAGGCTCCAGATGAGACAGGAAGCAGCAACAGTGACTCAGGAGGTGGCATCCTGCCCTGTCAGCCTAAGCCAGGGCTTCTTTTGGTTTCTGTCTGAATGTGTTTCAATGCAGTTATAAAAAACAGAATTACTCATTTAGGGTGATATTCTTCCAATGAGTGATCTTTGGTTCTTCAACAATCACAGATTTTGGCTGAACTCTGTTATATCCAACTGACCACAAATGTAGGCTAGGCTGATTAGCCAACTGGAATCTGTGAACACACTTTCTCTAAGTGGTGAAAGTGCAATTTTTCCTTATGGATACCCATTTCCATTCACTTGATTTGCAGAGCCAGATCATTTTCTTATTTTTTCCTGCCACATGTCCAGCCACAGAGCTCAATGGACACTGCAGGTTGGCTGTTGCTATTACAGTCACGTGGGCAGTGTCCTCAAGTTCAGCATCCCCAGGAGCTACAGCCTACTGAACAATTTCTCCATCTGTTCCAAATGCATCTGCTACTCACATCCATGCTCAGCTGCAGGCTCCATCCTCATCTCTTCATGTTAAAGGTTAAATGTTAAACCTCCCACACTGTTTGACCCTCTACAGAATGGGGTCATATTGAATCCCATTCCAGCATACAGCAACTCTCTTGTATTTGACACCTCTTTGGTGTCCCAGCTTCTGTTGCAAAGGTCATCTACCCTAACCCTATAAAAGTGCTCTCTTATGAACCTAAATAGGAGAATGGTCATATCAAAAGTAAAAGTACAAATCCTAAGAACTGGGAATTCTACTTACTGGGGGTAAATGTGTTGGAAGAGCTACTTACTTTCATCTATTTTGTCCACTTTGAATCATGTGCAGCAGAATACTATTTATAGGAACTTAAGGAGTTGCCACAGGATAAATTATTTTGCTGAATAAAGCATTTTAATTCCCAGCAGTATAAGTATACAATTTTTTGAGTATTAAAGTCCTCTTTTAGTATAAGGTTTCTCATTAATTTTAAAGCTTCAAAGCTTGCTAGGAAAAACTCACAACCAAGCACTTCTCTCCCAATTCCAGCAACGCAGTCAAATCTCAAGACATGGGCTAAGTAGAGACATTCATGTAATACAACAGAATCCACATCTATGTCAATATCTCATTTTTTCTGGTATCCTAAAAATACTATTTAACAGTTCTTCATATGCTGAAAGCAATTGTATTTTCTACTACTTTTAAAAGTGCTTCTAAAAACACACCAACCTTTTCAATGTTTTGGTCATCTAGTTTTAAAAATACAGATCAAAATTATGTTTTTGCATGTGTCTCTACATCAATAGAGACAATGTTTGGCTTCTTATACTTTTGTTCTCCACAGGAAACATTTTTTGATTAAAAGCCAATTTAGTCCAGCTTATCTTTAAAGACTCTCATTTACAGTTTTGCTGTCCCATGTGAGATGGAACAGGTACATGTCTATATGCACCTACATAAACCATTTTAAGTTCCCAAGCTCCCACGGGAAAGCAGAACAGAACTATCATTCAAACATCATTATTTCCTCAAATAGAAAGGTGTTTCTCGAGGCATGTGCACACTCCACCGTGCATTACTATGAGAGACACTATAAACACACATCAGGGCCTCTTCTTTCGCTTTTGCTGTTGACTAAAATGCTGTCATACCAAAGTCTGGCATGAGGGAGTGTGGGCAGACTCCATGTGCAAAAGCAGGAGGGCAGGAACACACACAAAAAGTTGTTACAAATCCAACCCTACTGTCTCTTCCAGCTCCAAACCTACCCTTTTCTAAGTATGTCCTGGGTGCCCAGGGAGGGTCCTCCTCAGCATAGGGATCGCTGTACTCCACCACAGCTGCTTCCTCCTCCTCGTAATCCTCGGGAGGTGGGGGTGGAGGCGGAGACTCATCAAACACCGCCTCGTCCACAGGCGGAGGCGGGGGAGGAGTATCTGAAACTGAGCAGAAGGAACAGCACAAACATGAAAATGTCTCTACAGCCACGGCAGCTGCTTCAAGTAATACCCTCTAGCCCAATTAATGGAAGGGGGACCAACAATTGTAACTTGTGAAAATACACTAGAGACAGGAAAATTCAGAGAAGGAATGGCCAGGTACCTCCAATAAGATTATTTCTTTTTCCCGCCCTTTACAATTTTAGACAAACTTGCAGAGGCAATAGAAAATGCAGAATTCTGGCTATATACAGATAAATCTTTCATCAACTCAATCCAAAAGCCACATCCAGTAATAAAACATTGCACAAGGAAGCAGCAAACTTACTGTTTTCTTGAACTCTGGCCACAAATCCCATTAGTGGTAACTGTGGAGTTACCTGTAGGATGGAGGGGGGAGGAGGAGCAAGGGATGCTGCCACAGAAATTAAAAAGAGAGAGGCATCCAGTTAGAAACACAACAAAGCAGCAAACAGGAAAGTAGACATCACCACCACTCAGACAGTGCAGCAGGCTGCTAAGAAGCTGAGATAAAAAGACTGACATTTAAAGAAAAATGGTTCAGGTGGTTTAAGCCTATTCCTAATCCTTTCTTCAAAAATATTTCTCTATTTTTAAAATTTCCAATCCAGCTCTTTTTCATAACATTAACAATCCATGCTGAAGCATTTTTCTGATTTGACTATGAGATTCCCTTAAGATAAAGTTTCTTACTACAGAATATAGCACTTTATGGGCAGACCTAAAAAATGTATCAAGAGGACTCTGCCTATAATCCTCCTCAAATCTAATTGATATTTATAGAGGTGACTAACGGCATCCATGAATCCCTAGTAATGAAAATGGATATACCTCTTTTTTTTTCCAAGATGTAGGCCAAAAGCCCTATTGAATGAGGCAGCTATTTCAGACAAAACAGAAAAAGATGCCTTTTGAGAACTGTGCAGATCTGAAAGATGCAACACTTCTGATCTTATTGACAGAACAGAGCACACTGTGCTGCTGCCAAACCACAGAGCCTATTCCAGATGTGCTGCCTGATTTCCTCCCCACCTGACTTCTCTGCACTGAACTCTGAACAGCCCTTTCACTGGTACCAGAAGGGCACTCTTTGTACAATAAGAGCTGCTTTGTACAATATATGTGAATTCCCAGTTAAAGAAGATGCTTTCAGCCAGTTGCAAATGCTGTAATGCTGAACTGTGGTTGAAGCCTGGAATGCTAGTTTCAGTTACCTAGTTAAAACATCAGCTAACTAGTTTTACGAGACTTTAGTATCACTTTGAATAATGCAGCACAATTCTTTAGGCAAGCTGCAAGACGATTTTTCAGACAGCACACCTTAGGAGAAGCACAAATAATACATTTCTTGTTAGTGTGTGGCATACAAAAAACATTTAATCATGTCCAAAGGGATTAAGGGGAAACAGAAGTCTATACTTCATATACCAGTACTATTTATTTAGCTACCAGACAGAACAAAAGAAATTTCAGGCTAATTCCAGAGGTAGTAAGAAAACTGACAGGGTATGATGTAACATTTTTCAGAATTAATTCACATAATCATAGCAAGAGAAAAGAGTTCTCCAGCATTAACAACTTGTGCCTCAAAATTTCTTCTGTTTGCTCATTCCAGTAACATCTTAAGTGCTTTGAATTTCTTCTATCACTCACATTCACATTTCTTTCAGAGCCACACAGCATGAACGAAAAGACTAACAGCAATCATCCTTTTTGTTGCAAAAGTACCTCCATATAAAGTAAGTTCCATTATCTCACCATTTAACTGATATCTCTTGAGAAAAAACAGAAATGTATTTCTGATTACAGTTTCTTTGACTCAAATGATGTGACCTCAGAGTATTTATTCCTTCAAGTGTAACCATGATTGCTGTGAAAAGATTTGGTCTTGCACTTTTTCAAAGCAGAAAAAGGGAACTCAAATTTAAAGTCCTACTGAAAAGCAGTAATATTCATCAATTCAGCATCCTTGTCCCTACTTTTTCAATTATATACAGTAGAAAAGTGTTTCATTTCAAACTGATTCCTCCATTCAACATCATATGGATTCATACAATCCATAGCTATCATAGGAGAGTAGCTCCAGTTTCCTTGCTCTCTTCAGTGTACTTTGTTCATGAGCTATATATATTTCTTTGAAAGAAGTAACAAGGCTTTCAATGGAGAAAAATAAATCACTCTAGACAAGCATGCCAAGCAAATCCAAAAAAATTCCCAGGTTCAGTTTGGGTTGTGCAGTTTAATCCCAATGGTGATGCTAACACTAGCTGACATCGTTCCCTGAGTATCTTAACCCCTCCATTTGTGCTTCAGTCCTTGCACTGTGCAGGGACTATCACAATATTGTCTCTATATGCTATATCATGACTCTAGTTCTGACCTCTAAGAGGCAATACAATAAGTATTTAATTAGGTTTTTTTTTTTAAATTAAATGCATCAGAAGACCTTTACCTCTGCTGTATAAACATCATCTTAAATGTTCTTTCCCATCTTCCTTCCATACTGACCACTAATAGATTTAATACACAGTTGCTGCAAATTAATTCAGAAATGCTCAAGAGCACCTTCCACTAGGCTGCTTCAGACTGGTCAGAACTCAGCTGTACAGATGGGGTGGGGTGCAACCACCATCTCAATGCCTGCCCAGATTCTCCCACCCAGTTTTTAGCCTGTGCTGAGCTCCACAGTGCTTAGATAATGATATCCAAATTGCAATGTTAAAGCACTTGTTCAGTGGCTTGGCTGGCAAGAGTGACTTTGGGACAGACATATGCTGAGATCATCCCCAGTCTGCATTTCTTAATATTTTCTTTTCAGTTGCTAAAAAGGTCTCATCACAAAGCAGAAAAATTTTATTATCGTGAAATATCTTTTAACAGGGCAATGCAAGTACCTTTCATGCTCCTGTCAAGTGAATAAACAAACATGACTAGGCCACCATTTTAAAAAATGGCAATGGAAATAACAGTACTGGGTTATTGCCAGACAGCCTACTAACAACAAAAAAGCCATAGCTGGCACCCTCCTCTGACTCTTGTAAGGTCTTTCTTTCCCCTCTTGTTTTCCACTTCTCTTCAGGAATGCTGAGAAAAAATTGTGGCCTCTGTCCCGTCACTACTGAACCTGCTCCTTCCAGACACAACAGTGCCTCTGTTCTTAGGGCTCATCAATTATGCATGCTTCAGCATCCTCTCCTTTCAAGGTGAACTCCAAAAAAACCTTGGTTGAGTGTAACTGCAAGGCCAATAAATTCTGTATTCTGCTGGTATATTAAAAGAAAGTCTCCTTCTACAACTGCTTATTTATTTTGTCTCAGATGTGCCAGTATAACTGAAGTATTTTGTTTGTGATTTGCAGTTCAAATGACTAATCACCATAATCATTACCTTCTTTCTGGATACACAGACAACTGTGGTTATGCAATTTATTTTAAGTCTATTTGGCATCTTCTATGATTACCTATTAACAATGTAATGGCAACTTGCAGAGAATTATCCCTTTGCTGAAGCAAAAAATGCACAGCAGTCGTCAAAAACTCTCTGGATATACTGAAAATCGTCTTTATTGCAAAAATTGCTTTATTGTAATCCTGAAAGGTTTCTATTGTTGCTATTACCCTTTCTTTCTTTCTTGCCTATTCCCCCTTCAGCCTTCAATATGCACATAATGTGCTTAGAAAATATGACCTATTTCAGGCAACTGGGCTACAATTTAGCCTCACAACTTCCTCCACTTCCCTGTGCCCAGCAGGACCATTGATTTCCATCTCAAGCTCAGCTCACCCTGCAGGGTAGCTCACAAACAGTAACAGCCAAACCTGATCAAACCCCTTAAACGCAGATTGCAGCATTTGACCTAATTCCAAGTTCAATGCTCAATTTAAAAAAAACAACCAAACCAACCAAGAACCAACCAACCAAAAAAAACCCCTAAACCAAAACACAAAACAAAAAACCCCCACAAAAATGAAACAAAAAACCCCCAAAAAAACAAAAGCAACCAACCAAGCCATACACACACCCCTTTCAAATTCCACCACCACAAAACACCAACATACTGTAGTACTTTCAAGTCAACATTCAATTTTGCTAGTAATAGGGCATTTCCTGACAAGAAACCTTCCATGTGTCTCCTGCATCTTTCTGTAGCTTTGTCAAAAGAGAAACTCTCCCCTGATCTGGTATAAAACCCTCCTGGTCCCATCAGAAGCACAGAAGAAGGACTCCTTAGGTAAAAGGCTACTGTGCTGTGCTGACACACAGGACACTCACTCCCTGGTGAGGTCACCCATAAAATAACATCACCTGTAGGCTCAGCAGATGACACAGCACCCAAACACACTGGTGTCTCCAAGGTATCTAATGCCTACCCCGGTGTAACAAGTACAACTGCTTGAACTGTACATTACCCAGAAGGAAAAGGCACACAAGATAAAGACTGATTAATGAAGAATCAGCATTCTGGTGCAAAATCAAACACCCATCCCACACCAAAGTAGGTCCATGGCACATGGTGTAGTCAAGGACTAAAGCTTGTCTGATAGGGACTGTGACATCAAAGGTAAATTATTTGGCAACAAAGCCAGCATTTTTAAGATGCTTGCCATAATGAAAGCTGAACACTGTGCACTTGCACTGCAGCTTGGGCACAGCTACCAGCAACTGAAAGTGCAAGATGTGCAATGGAGACAGAACATAAAACACCAGGGAGCTGCAGGTCACTGTGCTCAGGACGGCAGAGATGAGTGGCGCAGCCCGAGGTCCTTACCTGGGTTCTGGCTGTAGAAGGGGCCCCCGTTGATCTGGTTCTGAAGGCTGCTCTGTGACGTGATGGAAGGCGGGCGCCGGTAGGGCAGGGAGCCCCCGATGGTGGGGGGCGTGTGCCGGGCCGCGGGCCTGTTCATGCTGTAGAACTGAACCGGGTGACCTGGGGCACACACACACTGCCTTAGCAAAGAGGAGAACGGTGCCTGCCTGCCTTCTCTCCACCCACACTCCATCTCAAAGTTTGAAAAGGTTTCTGCTGCTTTATTCTATCAGCTGTCAGACTGGCAGGACACCAAATGTCTCAAGAGCAATGCAAAACATAACTCTCCCAACTGCCTACAAAAGCCAGTGGGAAAATACAAAGGTTTTCAAGCTACGAATCCTCAAAATGAAAGAAAATAATATCTGGTTATTTATGTTAAATAATGTATTACAATAACTTCTTGTGAATTTAGTTATTTCTGAACCTGCAAAAAACTCCACAAAACGCTAGTGTTCCACAATTAAGGAACATACATGTAAAAAATAACTGCAGGCCATTTCCAGGATCCAAAGCTCTTAACCCTTTGTAACTGAAAAACACAGTACTACCTATCTTAGTGCCACTTAGAAGATATTCAGAGAAACATCTGGGGAGATAAGAATGTTAGAAACTGCTTGAAGGATGGAATAAATGAAGTCAAACTAGAAGACCCTCTTCAAGGGAGCTGTCAATTAAAACAACTCCTCAGAAACTTACTCTGCATTTTCTTTACTTTCTGTATTCAAGACACTGATCATGACTCCCAGCAAGCAATAAATGAAGCAAGGTATCTTCTGTGCTCACATAAAATTCTCTGGATTTTATACTGCATACAACAGTAAGCTGGATTTGTTATTCCTATATGCAGTATTACACCCCACAAACTATTCTGCCTCTACCATTTGTCCTAGAAGCAAATTTGAGAGTTTGCAAGAAAACAAGGGAAGAAGGGATGGTCACTGTGGTTGAGAAGTAAACAGCAAAACAGAACAAAAGAAGGTACAAATTTTTAAACACTTGTACTGTTCTTCATTATGTGTTTTGCTTGCTTTGCACAACTTCTTGCTAGGTCAGTAAATAAATATACAAGTTGCTTGCTCTGTTACTTGCTTGTAAGAGCAAATGCCTGAACTACAGTGTCACATTCCCTCTGCTTTGTACCAATAATGTGGTGTACCATATTAAAAAATGCACTTATTACAGCTAAGAAAGAATCCATTCTATAAAGGCTTTTTCTCATTTTTTCTGATGTGTCTTTTCAATGTGTGTGTGTCTCTCTCTCTGTTACTTAATTCACTTGCAGAAATTGGTGGTAATTGGAGAGAAGAGAGGGGAGAGGGCTAAGAGGTTTTTTAGGACCAAAAGCTATGACTTCATAAGTGGTGACCTATCACTCTTAAAAAACTTTATTTCAGACAAACCTCACTAATAAAACAGGGAAACAAAAGATCTTAGAAACAGTAACTAAGGTGAAATTTCTCTTATGAAATTCTGAATTTACAGTCATTAAAATATTAATCTTTGCTTGATTTTGACTTGTTAAAAATATAGGAGCAACATGGCTTAAGAACTGGGATACTGACAGCGCATCAAAACGGAAAATTGATTGGGGCTCCATATGCCACAGCTCATCTTCATGAAAGTAGTTTAGACATCATGATCATCTCAGATCAAAATTCATCACCCTTTAGAAACTTCTGGTCACAGTTAAGGATTCTAGTGGAAATATCTTCTAACTTTATATGAGCACCAGCCCTTTAAACTACAGGCAATTTCAAGAGTGCTTCTGGAACCTGGTACAATTTTTACCAAGAGATGACCACTAATAAACCCACAAAGCAACTCCCTCCCCTGTAAGCAGCCTCCACCATAATGTAAAGCAGCAAAGCATGCAGGTAGCTACACATGAATTTGGCTGGCTGAAGGAGATCTTCACACTGCAATCTCCTCATCAAAAGGTGATACAGGACAGTATTATGGTTCCTAAGTGCTACACTCTGCAACTTCAGCACATGAGAAAATGAAAAGTGTAGCACTAAAAAAAAAGAAAGTTGCAATATACACCCTAAGTACCACATATGAAAACAAAATGCCTTAGTAGTAGTCTGTATAATAAAAATTTGTATTTTACTAATACTGGACACAGAAACCCGGCCCTTTTCATCAGTTCATTAAAGGGAGACTTGTCATTTGACGACATTGAAGAAACCAGTTACATAAATTACACTTTGCTAGATGCACTTTTTAAAAATTGCATTTATGAAAGAGAATAATAAGACCCAGAACTATCAGTACTGGTTCCTGCCAAACATAATTATTCTATGAGGTTCTCAGAATCCAAAAAGAAATAAAATTATGATTTAGTGAATTACATAAATGTAAAAATAATAAAATTATAGCTGTTAAAAAAATCAGAACACCTTGAACTGTCCACTGTAACCATGACCTTATAGTTGGGTATTAGCAGATATTTTCTAGTAATAATTGAACTTTTTTTAAATTATGAATCACAGCTGCTGAAGTAACTTTGCAAAGCCTTGGATCACGATCACATCTGGGTTCATCTGCCCAGCAGCTGGAGCAGACACTCACCTGCAGAGGGTGTGGAAGAAACAGCAGGGGGAGTTGGAGAGGTGAAGCCATCAGCAAGGGGCTGAGCTCCTGCAGCAGCAGCAGCAGCATCTGGGGCAGCGGAGGAAGGGGCAGGAGGAGCAGGAGGAGTGGGGGCAGGAGCAGAGGTAGCAGGAAGGGGAGAAGTGCCAGCTGAGCCAGCAGGGGCTGAGTGAAAAGAGGAGGAAGAGGTGGAGTTAATAAGGAGATATGTTAGCAAGGATTAGAGAAAGCCTCTGACTATTCAGTGTTAGCTATTTATTAGCTGCACAGTATTTCAGAATGCAGCAGATGAGAAAACAATGGAGCTGTTAAAGAAAGGCTCATTCCTGTGTAGATGGTAAATGAGGGTCAAGCAAAAAGACTTCTTTCCAGGTCTGAAGGGAACACAACCCAAAACTTTTCAGTGAAAAGTATTACTTTTGAAAGATGTCTTTGCATTGTGTTATTTATGCTCCAATCTCTAGCATGGCTGTCTTTAGCCATAAATCAGAATATAAAGAGGAAACAAAAAAATTTCCAGCTCTTTGTTTCAGAAGCATCATGTACTTCTCTGCAAGACAACTACAGGCTCCTCTTCACTGAAAAGGCTGAGCAAAGGAAAAAGAAGTACTAATAACACCTCCTGCTTCTGGAAAGTCTGGGGCCATTACATTGAGCAAGTATCTCTTTGTGACAATTCAGGCTTGCATTGATGTACTCAATATTTACTCTGTGCCTGCCTCTCATTCAATCTAATTTTCTAAAAACATGCTTCTGTGTGTCTGCATAAACAGCCAATGAAAAAACATTTATTTGCTTAAAAGGACAAGGGAGAAGTGTCCCTCAGCCCACTAAAAAAGGTGCTGTGTCCTACCTTGTCACATGCAGGCAGCCAGGCAAAAAATTCTGATAAACAAATTAATACATAAAAGGAACATTGCAGCACATCAGACACTCTCAGAGAAGACACTACTTGATTCAAACTCATATTATCAATAGCAGTGAACTCTGGGCTTCCCTTCAAGTTTAGGAAACTGCAAATGCTCAAGGTAAACAATGAGGCAGAAAGTGGAACAAGAAGTTTCCATTTACCTGGATAGACACTAGGAGGAGATGGTGTGGGAACAGCAATGGGAACACCCACACTTCCACTGCCACTGTTCTCTCGACTGCTGCTCCGACTGCTTGGGTGGCTTCCCCCACTACTGCCACTGCTGCTGTAAGAAGCCAAAGGAACCAGGGAATGAATATGATGCTGCTCTTGCTGAAACATAAGATCCCTCACAGAGCATCTTACCAAACCAGGGAACAGGGAACAAGAGAAAAGCAACAAGGATAATATAAATCTCTACAGAGCTGGGCATTCCTTTAACTCTCCACTGTGACTACAGCACAAGAGGGATTTTTTTTCAGTAAGTGAGCCTTAGTGAACTTGGCCAAAAATGAAACACTTCCAGAAACTTGTTCAAAGCACATCATGCCAGGATTGTTAAGCCCCTACAGAGGAATTAAAGACCTTTTTCCTATAACTTTAAAACTTATGAGTGCTTAGACTGTGATTTGTATGCTTTCATATGAGACTACTAAAGCCTAAAGGTTGTAAGATAGTAAAATTCAGATTTCTTATCTTTTTAAGTCCACTTGTTTAACCATCCTCAAGAACTTATAATGTTTAAAAAGTAAATATTTCAAGGAAAGTATTTAGCTCTAATCACATCGTGAAACTAATTATCCTAGAAAAAAAACTAGTCTTCTGCAGAGCCCCTGGCAATGCAGTTCAGCCTTATTCTATGTTTGAAGTTATCAATATCCCCAAAACACTATGCCAATATCCCCAAAACACTATTTCAGCTATTCAATCTATAAACATCAAAGACTGTTCCCAAATGTCAAGTATAAGCATCTAAGCAGCCCTTCAACATGTAGAGAGCAAGCTGTGTACAAAGTCTTCCCCCTGTTTAGTAATCACTTAGTAAAGTAGCATCATGATCTACCTCCTTGAAGGACTTCACAATCTTAGCAATTCATTAAGTACTCTAAGTGAGATCACTAAAACAGAGGTGAACAGGGGATTAAGTGAATAATCGTAACACGATTCCTATTCCAGTTTGATTAGCGCTCATTCTCATCACGCCCCGGAGGCTGCCGGCGCACAGGGTGAACGAGGGAGGCGCAGGTGGGCTCGCAGTTGGGCACAGCAGCTCTGCCCCCGGGCAGGAAGAGGCCAGGCCGGTACCTGTAGGTGCGGTTGCGCTGGTTGACCGAGGCCGTTCTGACGGGGCTCTGCTGGGCCGGGGCCATGGTGCGCGTCGGGCTCGGCACGTAATCGTTGGGCACCACCGGGGGCCGCACCGGCTCCAGCGTGCGGTACGGGGAGTGCCGCCTGCACGGCACAAGCACAGCCACAAGCCCGTTAGGGGAGCGCACACAACACGCACTTCTCACTCACTCAAACACAGCTACACACTGATCGGGAACGTGAGCCTAAAACTGGGCTTCATCTATCACTTTGCAGTACTTATTTTGCAATTAAGGATATTCTTGTGGTACTTCAGTCTTCCTATCAGTAAACTCTGTGTTCCACATCCCGTCCTTGTTTTGAAGGTAAGCCATTTTCTTGCATTAAAATAAAGCGGCACCATGTTCTGTATGTATATACATTAAAACACACCAGCAAACAGCATTCATTATATATTCATTATAAAACATCAGGTTATAAACTTCAGGTTTATAAAATCAGGTTCATAAACTTTGCACAAAATTACTTTCATCAAGCACAACACAAATAACGAGCAGTGCCATGCACTCATTTTCAGTTGTTTAGCACCACCTGTGAAAACCACAGCTAAGGACATTTTACTCTACAGTATGTAATTTTAAGTGTTCGGCACTGAGAAGAAGGTTCCTGTTGGGAAAGGCTGATGATGCCCACTATCTATCTTCTGGCAGCAGCACACTAACATACAAAGACATGATCAGTAAGAGAGGATGCAGATGTAACACCTCTTGACCTTTGTTAACGCTTAAAATAAAACTATGAAATCTCTCCCACTACAGAAAAAGAAAGAATCTTCCCTCTTTTCCCTTCTGTTCACCCACTCAGTAACTGCACTTACCCAATAGTTCCTTTTCCTGACATGGGTGGACTTGGTGGCTTCTGGGTGGGTGGTGTTGTGCGAGGCAGCCCACCCATCTTCATGTTCTGGGTGCTGACCTGCATGAAAGAACGGGGACAAAAACGGCCTTCACTGAGCTCAGGGTCCAGGGGAGAGACACGGAGATGCCTTTAGCAATTAACTCTAAGGAAGGGAAGGTTTCAACAAACAAAAAAACTTGAGAGGCCATGCGTTTTATATGCAATTTCCACTCTGCTAGAAGTCAAGAGTTGTGCTCAAAGGACTCTTTATTACATAGTTTTTAGAAATTGTACAAAAAAGTGAATTTGCCTTCAGGCTATCACATAAATGTTAACTCTCTGAGAATACAGACAGACACTGCACCTAACTTGGCTGAACCTCCCAGTCATCTTTTGAGAAAAAGGCAGTTATTTCACATGGCACTACTGAATGGTAAATTTGCACAAATATTTTTGAATACTGTTTAAAAATACTAAGGCTTATCTAATAGGCCACAATCTCATGTGATTTATACAGATATGGAGAAGTCAAAGTAATCTATAAATATCATCCATTAATGTTTTAATGTTTTCACAGATTATAAGAACTTTTAAAGATACTTACTTTAAATATTAGTTACATACATAACATACAGAGAAAGCTATTTTGAGAAAAATACAAAGGTGTATTTTTCCCCCCCAATTAAATCTGTAGCAATTTCATCTCAGAGTTTATAAATAAATGGATAGGGAGAAAAATTTTTAGTAGTGATGTGATATAACTGCAGTTGTCCACTTCCCCTCTGTCAGGTTAAAATACTAATGAAGTAAATTTTACATAAAATAATTTACTCTAACTTCTTTCAAAAACTCATTTGCATTCCTGACTGATTGATTAATCTAGGAACTGTAAACAATTGTTAGCAATGTGCATTTTGCTTCCCTGTATTTTGCCAGCCAAGCAAAATCCCCTCAATGCACACATCCTTACAGGAATCATACACGGTCTGCTTACAAACCAGCTCAGATTTATGACTGCCTGAGCCATTGCTCAGGCACAGAGATACTCAGCAAACCTAAACAAGTGTGCTTACATCCCTCTCTCTGCTCTTCCTGTCCTGCTCCATCTCACAGCATTTCTTCTTTCTAAAATGTGAGTCCTGGCTACTGCCCCATCTCCCACAGAAAAATGAAACCGTGATCAAGGCACTCAGGAGTGTTTGCAAACATCATTGAAGGCAGATTACTCCTTCAAAATTTGACTCTAACAACTCACTTAAAACCTTGGCAATGTTTAGATTTGTGAATTGATAAATATTAACAACAGAGTAAAGAGTAATAAGTTCAGTATTCTAATCCACTGAAACTTGATTCCCTGTCTCTAAATAATCCCAGTGCTACCACATTTTCAATCTGCAGGGAGGAAAAGAAAACCCAAGCGTTGGAAGAGGTATTTTGTCAGATTCAAAAACAGATGTTTGGATTTAGTTGTGCAAGAATACTCTGTAATGTCAATTTAAGACAAAATTATGTTGCACAGCATTATAAAGTCCTTTAAGCCAACTCTAAGCAACAAGAAATCTAAAGTTAATTCAAGTGAGGGATGAGGTAAGCACTGAACTACAACTACTTAAAGGGAAAAGGGAAAGTGTAAAATGAAATTTATTTTATTCTATACACGGAACATTTAAGAAATAGCAAAATCTGAATTTTTTTTTAAAGTTGCAGCACCCCCTGTATTTCCTCTTTCATTAAACATGCCTGTTTCACCCACCTACCTATTTGAGTTTTCAAAAAAAAACCCACAAACAAACAAAATCCACTTTAATTAAATGCTCACTGAATTGTCACTTGCTGTATTTCAAAGAGCCCACTCAGCCTCTGCTTTTGGATGTCTTTAGATGACAGACCAATCTGTGTGCCCCTGAATACTCCATTTAGGGGATTTAACTGGCTACACTATTGTTTCTGACGAGCTGATGTAACCACTGGCTATCACTTTACAGTCAATATAAAATTACATGTATTTCATACAAATAATGTTATTATTTTATATACAATGATTACAAGAACAGAAATGAACTTCTAGGCATCCCAGGGCTATGGCTACATGAAAAGACAGGATGGCTGAGGCGGAGGATGCTGGAACATCACACTGGGTGCAGCCAGAAGTGGATCTAACACTCGCCTTGCCACACAGAGCTCCAGTGCTTGGTATTTCCATTAACACTGCAAATACACAGATCCTTGAAAAGGATGGGACAAAAGCTTTAGAAAACGTGGCCAAACAATAAATGACCTGTTTTTAGCCCAGGAACTGAGCAAAAAGAAACCATCCTTAAAAAAACCCAACCTAAAAGATAAGGAGATTTCCTGACAGTAGGTTTAGTTTCAGGGTACTGGAAATTACTTTTGAACACTGAAATTGAACTGTTCAGAGAGCAAGTAATTAGAATTTACAAGGTTGTCTTCAAATCTGACAGGACTGGTGACTTTAAGATCAGCTACTCTAAGTTAAACAACCCTGTGCAACTTCCCCTTTGACTTACTGCCAAATAATCACAGAAGAGAAATTTCAACACTTCTGATCAAAATGGACAGATCCTTGGAAATAAAAGCATGCAAGATGCTAAAAAAAATCTAAAACTGCACCAACTGCAATTGAGATTAAAGCACTGCAATATATACAGCTGTCTCCTCCCATAATAATTTCTACTGGGGGGGAAGGAAGGCTATTAATGCCCCCTCTCTTCCAAACTTTATTGTATTGCCTTTTCTATTTTGCACATTTGGTTGTAAATACAGTTTCCATACACAAATTCTCACCCACACACATCCCTCTTACAAACATGTAAAATCTGAAGCAACAACCAGAACTCAAGGTCATATTTGCATTTGCTGTCAAGTTTAAAAATTTGTTTTTCTGGAGTAAGCTGGTACTTGCCAGAACTTGCACTGTTTCAGATACCATTTCCCCTGGTCCTGCACAGCTGGAACTACCCAGATGCAGCTGATTTAATGAGAGGGTGAAAGCAGAGGAATGCATCTGTCTGACAGTGGTTTCTTTCAGCCCCACAGGCCGGGGCTGATTTCTAGTTTAAGTCTTGGAAATCAATTTAAGAAAATGCATAGCAAAAGAGAGCCTGCAACCAGAAAGATAAAGGAGTATCTGTCTGTGCCTTTGCTCACAACTGCTCAGTTAACCAGCCAACCACTGTGTTTAGAACAGGGAAAAAAACCCAAGAGAGGCAGTAATGAATTGGGCACAAAGCTCAGGATAAAACCATAGATGACTGAGGTAAAAGCAGGAAGACAACCCTGTAAACAGACAATAGGGCACAGGGTCTGTGCCTAATGCATGCAGGGATTTTTCAAATGATTCTTTTTCCTCTCTCACAGAAAAAAAAACCCACCAAAATTACCAACAGAAGTTGTGGAACACCAAGAGATCTTGGTTGGTTTTTTTTAAACTGGATACCTTGCAGAAGCTTTTTATAGCTGAATTAACAAGCACATGCACCACAGAAAAATATCTTCTACCAAAGCTGTAACTTTGTCAGCACTGGAGCTGGAATTGGAAGTTTTTCTGAGAAAGAAACTACACAAACTACCTAAAAAGCAGATGCTTGGTGAGTAAGACACCCTAGAAAATGCTCTGGGATCCAGCCCCACAGTAACAGCTATAAAATGAACTGTAAAAATGGATCCCTATGGACCATTCTGTTTCACAAGGGTGCCATAGTACCTCATCCAGTATTTTCTATTACTGAGCAACAGTTTTAGAAGGGCACCATCTGATGACTTCAAGACACAATATGGCACTGACTACAGCACTCAGAGAAGCTACCCTCTTAAGTTTAATTTTTTAAATAATTAAGACTTAATTGGCCAATTTCTATTTCTGGCATCTAGTTCTTCATAGATTGCAATGATCAAAACACCATCTCATGGTCCTACATATGACTGAGTTTCCTTAATACTTACATTTTTATTGGCATTTAACATACTGAATTTCTTTAGCACTCCACTGTATAAGGAAGTTGTACTGAAACAAATAAGTCAGCTAAAGCTGATAAATTATGTCGTCCATTCAGTTTAATTCTTGAGAATATTTTCACAAGCAAAGAAACAAAAAACAAAACAGGAAGTACAGAAATTTATAGCTGGTGAGATATGGAAGCTGGTCAAGAGACTGCAAAACTATTTGCAATTATGTCCTGTATCTATACAGATGTAAGACACTTACCTGCAAGAAAGCAAGCAAGCTGGGCTTTTTGGGGGGTTGGTTTCTTTTTGGTTGGTTGGTTGGTTGTTTTACCCCCCAAAATCCTGAATACCAGCTATTCAACACAATCAAACCTCAGGAGGAGCTACTTCTAAAGCTGGATAAAGTAACAAATTTTTAAGTGGTGCTTTAAATTCAAACTGTATTTTCTAGAACTTTCAGGATGTCAGAAGAATAATTTTTTGCTGAAAACCTAGTAGGAAAAAGTGTCCCATCAGTGATGTTTCACGGACTATATTCAGAACCTTCAGGCAGTTCCTCAACCTTCTTGAGCAATTGGTATCCAGTTATGGGAAAAAATACCCCAAGGCTGAATGAAAACTCCCTTCCATGCCTTGCTTCATCTTGTTAATGCTGCAGAGATGATGAATAGATTTTTGGCCCACCGTCTGCCACCTCAAAGTAAATTTATTTTCAGGCTGTGCTCAGCCACTCAAATACTTACTGTGCATGTCTAATCAAACCATTTGCTTGTCAGCTCATTAACCAGTTTATAGGGAAGTGAAATGTATAAATTTCAGCCCTGTTTTGGCAAATGACCACAAGTAGAAGCTTCAAGCAAGTGAGCTTACTTGTTGTTACCACATCCACCCATGCAAAGTAATTGAAGAATCAAGTCTGGTGAATACAAAAAGGCTTAAACAATGTCATTTTCAATTGATTTTCCTCTGCCTTGTAACTGAAATTTTCTTCAAAATCTGTTTAAAACTTAAGCTACTCAGACACAAATCCAATGCTGCAGTCAGTCAGTTTAAAACTATAGCTGTTAGGTAAGGCTAAGGGTTTTTTGCAATCACAAAAAAGAAATGTAGGC